GACAGTAATTGACAATTTCTGCAGTTGTATAAACTCTAATATTACCTTTGAAAAGTTCAGGCTGGTATCTTCATTACAGGTCAAAACGACATCATTTATTTTCGTTTTACCTTCCGCTTGTGCTGTTAGGCGTCGTGAAGAGACACACTGATCTGTCAGCGGCAAGGCGAATGGCCTGGAGGAGAGATATCTCGTGGGCTGTCAGAGTGTGTGCCATACTCACGATTAACCTTCCTGTTAAAGGATGAGAGAAATGTGCTATAGCTGTTTAAATTTCTTTTATTTTCATTTCCCAAGTACTTTCGATCTTCTTCCAGGATCATCTTCAGCGGTGCAAGTAGTACAAAACTCCATGTTGTTCATTAGTACAAGTATTTATACAAAGGTGTGCGTTGTTATTTATTACCGTATTGTTTTTCATTATGCTTTTAAATGCAAAACGGTTGACAATGTGCTGAGCGTTCATTAGAACGTGAAAAAAAATTATCCATTATAGAATTTTTTCTATGCTATAATGTCATGATCATACGTGCATTAAAATGCGAAAAACCTCTTCCTTTACAGGCATTTCACAACATTATTGAAGTATTCATAGTATATTGTGTTTAGTGCTGGTTTTAATTTTTTTTTTAATATAAATTGCTTCTAGTATCTGTTATCTGAATTTGTTGTTTTTATAGTGTAGTGTAGTTGCGTTGTCGATTAGTAAATTTTTATACTGTGAATGTGGACGGGAATGATGTAGATTTCTCGCAATAGATGAATGGTCAGACATGTATAATGTAAGCCTTCTTGTTAGTATATTTGTTGTATACCCAACGTATATATTTGTTTTGTTTTTTTGTCGGAGACACATTCCCCCAAGGGACATTTAAATTGGTATATAATATTAGTTCTAAGTGTAGAATAACAATAATAAACAGCACTTACCGGCGAAAGCAAATGACACACTCCAGGCTGACCTACTGGCCAAAGCTGGGGCACTTAAATCCCTTGAGCAAAATATCCGTCATGCTGAAGCATTCGAATCAGCATTGCGAGACCAAACCTCAATGGCCGGCGCTGCTCGGCTATCGACATACCGCAGACAGAAGGGTACGCCACAAGCCAACGAGGGGATCCGTACCAGCACCTATTGCAACTGCAATGTTAAACCAAACCACCAGGCTTGCTTAGGTTGTGGCAGCCACCAGCATGGCACCTCAGAAAACTGGATACACCTACAATTCCAGTTCCCAGACCTAGTGCCTTACCTGAGACCCCTACACCAGTGCCACAAACATTCGACGCTGGAATAGCATCAAACACTGCTCAGTCGTCTACAATAACACGGACAAAAACCCCTCAGGCATTGTCCAGACTACTTCCGCACAACCAACCAGGTTTAAAGGAACTCATCCCTCCCCAAAGGCCACTACCCTCACGCGATGGGGGGGGGGAAGGAGATGTAGAATAACAATAATAAAAAGCACTTACCGGCGTAAGGGTCCCAGCTAGCGTCCAGCTGGCAGACAAAAATAAAGCAGGTTGTAACTTAATACAAACCCTGCAAACTAACTGATGAATTAAGCTGGTATTTATACAGAGATGCCTCCACTCATGTACCAGTAGCCAATCACAGCCCAAGCAATGGACTATCCCACTTTAGCACAATGAGATGCTCCATGGCACCATAAATAGCTCTCTTAAGGTTGAGTTATTATTCACTCAGCTTGCTCCACAACTGAGTGTTTATCTCGACCACGTGATTTTTCTACACTAAGTAATACATCAGCTAGTGAGAAGGACAAGAAGCGAATAAGCAAATTTGTTGTACTGTATTTTTTATAATATATGATCAATTTTATTTTTTTTTATTAGAATCTATGGAAGGTATGTTAGTATGAATGAGGTTCTTAATGATTTCTTCATCCTGTTTGTAATTTCTTATAATATATTAGCTTAATATGGAAACCTGGAGGCGGTGTAATGGTTAGCTAGCGGTCTCGCTAAAACAGTTACGACTGATTAGTGAGTTCGATCCTAACCGGGTGTCCTCTACATTTGGCCTTGTGCCACATCTAAGCTACGCTTGGAAAATCATTTAGAGCACCTAAAGGTGGTGTAGTGATTAGCAAGCTTGTCTCGCTAGATCAATTATGACTGAATAGTGAGTTCCATCCTCATTGGGTGCCCCATTCCTTTGGCCTTGTGCCACGTCGAAGCTACGCTTAGAAAATCATTTAGAGCACCTCGAGGCGGTGAGCAAGTTTGTCTCGCTAGAACAATTACGACTGAATAGTGAGTTCATTCCTCACTGGGTGCCCCATACTTTCGGCCTTGTGCCACATCTAAGCTACGCTTTGAAAATGACTGTAGTAGTTATATTTAATATCCTTTGAGGAAGTGGTATATTCTATTTGACGTGTCTTGCTTTATATATATATATATATATATATATATATATATATATATTGTCTTATTTTTTCATCTACAATGTGGTTTGGGAAGTCATTATCAACGAGAGTCTGCTTAATATTTTTTTAGTTCAGTGTAGAAAATCTTTTGTGGAGGAATTAATTTGTGCTCGGTTAATCACACACACACACACACACACACACACATATATATATATATATATATATATATATATATATATATATATATATATATATATATAGGGGACGATAATTGAAATTTCAAAAGGGGAGATAATTTTATGCTTCACGTTTCATATCCGAAAGTAATTCTTCAGGCTAGTATTAGGAAAGGTTGATTTTTAACATTTTGAAGGAAATCAACGTTGCACTCAGTGTAAAATCTGGGTTTTGATGTGATAGTTACTCTTACCAAACGCTTGTTTCATTGCTTTTATCTATCTTTAAGCATTTAGTTTTAAATATCGTCTGAAAAATATTTTATTATTTCATGAATAAATCCAGATAAATTTGATATTTTTTACATTAGATATATTGAATAGAAAATATATTCAAACCACTATTCTGATTTTGAATAGGCGCCAAAAATGTGCAGCGTAAATTGTAAAAGGCAACTCGATAAATAAGATTTGTTAAATCATTTGTTAGATCGTAATTAATAAAAATAAAAAACTAGATAAGTGTATATAAGACTATAATACTGGTGGGTACAAATTATGAAACAAAATGTTTAAATTTGCATTGTTTATTGAAAATCACACTAAAACTACTGCACTGTATAACATATTACATGATAACATGGCGAAATTGTTCAGAATAATTTCCCTTTGAAGTAAATGAAGGTTTTATTTGATGGCGCAATGATTTAGTAATAATGTGCTTCTGCCTTTCATCTTGTCCATAGACATTTTATAAAGCTTCAGTAAATTATAAATTTTATAAGGTTGTGAATAAGGCTTTCGCTGATCACCGGAATGATTTTCCAATGCTACGATTTTGAATCTAAACTTAATAATTTAAAATCATTTCCTCAAAAAACTGTAACGAGTTGGAAATAAATATTTTGTGTCGTTCTTTGTCGTGTCCAGCTTCAACTTTCAAATTGAGTGCAATAGCACGATTCCAATATTTAAATGTGCATTGTTTATTGAACATCACAACATATTACATCAAAATATAGCTAAATTGTTCAATATAATTTCCCTTTGAAGTAAATGAAGGTCTTATTTGATGGCGCATTGATTAATAATGTTCTTGTGCCTTTCATCTTGTCCATAGACAATTTGTAAAGCTTCAGTAAATTATAAATTTTATAAGACTGCGCTATAAGGCTTTCACTGATCACCGAAATGAAATCTCAACGCTACGATTTTGAACCTGAACTTAATCTTTAAACTTGTCTATTCAAAAAACGGTAACGTTTGGAAAAATATTTTGTGGTTATGTATCATGTCAAAGCAAACTTTCAAATTGAATGAAATACCACCATTCCAAAATCGACTTGCTTCAGCCCAGATTATGGCAGCAACACTATGCTTTTGAAGTAAATGAAGGTCTTATTTGATGGCACAACGTTTTAGTAATAATGTACTTGTACCTTTCATCTTGTCCATAGACTATTTGTAAAGCTTAAGTAAATTATAAGTTTTATAAGACTGTGCTATAAAGCTTTCACTGATCCCCGGAATGAAATTGCAATTCTATGATTTTGAAACTAAACTTAATCTTTTAAATGTGTTTCCGCAAAAAACGATAACGATTTTAGGGAAAAAATGCGTCATTATTTATTCTGTCTAATTCAAACTTTCAAATTGAGTGCTATATCAAAGGAACTGCTCTACTGTAGTATATGTCTCCTCGAGGATCATGTCAGGAATCTTGCTCTCATTATCCTTTAAAGAAACCAATATCTTGCATTTTTCTCAATCGCTCCAGTTGCGTCTCCAATGCAAGAGTGGGAAAGAACCGGCCACAAATCTACATCGAGAAACGATGAAGGTGTTGGAAAGCTTATCATTAAATTTAAAATGTGAATGCTGGACACGGGACAAAGATATCATTACGTTGATAATTGACAAAGAAACTAAAAAAAATGGCGGATTCTCTCCCGACCAAATTCATTTACTTATTCAATTAATTTTTTTTGTGTTTCTCTTAAATTTGAAAGAAAAAAAAATCCCAGAGTGACTTATGCAAATTCCCGCTGTTTCTTTTCTTTTTTTTTCTTTTTGTTGTTCCTCTCTCGCAAAAAAGAAAAACGAATTGACTCTAGCGAAGTTGTCGATGTTAACAAGTACATAGCTGTCTGATCAATCATTGTCAGCGTTTGTCTACGGCGAGAAATCGAGAGAACACTTATTGATAAACAACTCGAGAAACAAAAATGACACTGAGGTTGCATGTCTTATATCGATCGATACACGACAGCAAAGGAACACGAGTCGTTTATGTTGCAATCTGTGACATGTTTCGGAATAAAATTTCAATCAATTTGAACGAGACGATAGTCTTTGTTCGGCGGACTGAAAACAACGGGTCCAGTGGAATTTCTCTTCCAGCAGATTAGAGAGACGGGAAATTCCAATGCGCCATCATTCGGTATCGTATTTTGGGGGAATGCATAAATCTATCTATCTATCTATCTATCTATCTATCTATCTATCTATCTATCTATCTATCTATGTAAACCTGTTCTATCTATCTATCTATCTATCTATCTATCTATCTATCTATCTATCTATCTTTCTTTCTTTCTTTCTTTCTCAATGTATCTATCTATCGACATTTTTCTTTCTTTCTTTCTTTCTTTCTTTCTTTCCCTATCTATCTATCTATCTATCTATCTATCTATCTATCTATCTATCTATCTATCTATCTCGATCTGCTTCTTTCTTTCTTTCTTTCTTTCTCAATGTATCTATCCACTTTCTATCTTTCTTTCTTCATTTCTTTCTTTCTTTCTTTCTTTTTTTCTTTCTTTCTTTCTCAATGTATCTATCTATCGACATTTTTCTTTCTTTCTTTCTCAATGTATCTATCTATCGACATTTTTCTTTCTTTCTTTCTTTCTCAATGTATCTATCTATCGACATATTTCTTTCATTTCTTTCCCTATCTATCTATCTATCTATCTATCTATCTATCTATCTATCTATCTATCTATCTATCTCGATCTGCTCCTATCTATCTTTCTTTCTTTATTTCTTTCTTTCTTTCTTTCTCAATGTATCTATCTATCGACATTTTTCTTTCTTTCTTTCTTTCCCTATCTATCTATCTATCTATCTATCTATCTATCTATCTATCTATCTATCTATCTATCTCGATCTGCTTCTATCTATCTTTCTTTCTTTCTTTCTTTCTTTCTCAATGTATCTATCTATCGACATTTTTTCTTTCTTTCTTTCTTTCTTTCCCTATCTATCTATCTATCTATCTATCTATCTATCTATCTATCTATCTATCTATCTCGATCTGCTTCTTTCTTTCTTTCTTTCTTTCTTTCTCAATGTATCTATCTATCGACATTTTTCTTTCTTTCTTTCCCTATCTATCTATCTATCTATCTATCTATCTATCTATCTATCTATCTATCTATCTATCTATCTCGATCTGCTTCTATCTATCTATCTTTCTTTCTTTCTTTCTTTCTTTCTTTCTCAATGTATCTATCTATCGACATTTTTCTTTCTTTCTTTCTTTCTTTCTTTCTTTCTTTCTTTCTTTCTTTCTTTCTCAATGTATCTATCTATCGACATTTTTCTTTCTTTCTTTCTTTCTTTCTTTCTTTCTTTCTTTCTTTCTTTCTTTCCCTATCTATCTATCTATCCCAGTCTGTTCATTATCTATCTATCTATCTATCTATCTATCTATCTATCTATCTATCTATCTATCTATCTATCTTCTTTCTTTTTTTTTTTTCTTTTCTTTCTTTTCTTTCTTTCTTTCTTTCTTTCTTTCTTTCCCATTCTATCTATCTATCTATCTATCTATCTATCTATCTATCTATCTATCTATCTATCTATCTCGATCTGCTTCTTTCTTTCTTTCTTTCTTTCTTTCTTTCTTTCTTTCTTTCTTTCTTACCCATGCTATCTATCTATCTATCTATCTATCTATCTATCTATCTATCTATCTATCTATCTATCTATCTCGATCTGATTCTTTGTGTCTTTCCCTATCTATCTATCTATCTATCTATCTATCTATCTATCTATCTATCTCAATCTGTACATTATCTATCTATCTATCTATCTATCTATCTATCTATCTATCTATCTATTGGCCCCGTAGCTTTGCTGTAGCAGAGGTTTGAAAATATGGGGAACTCAGTGAGGATCGAACTCCCTATTCAGTTGTAATTGGTTAATAAAAGAAGAATTAAATGACTGAATAATGACGCTATGATATTCTATGGCTAAAATACTCCATAGGAAGTAATCATTTTCCAACACCCTCACAGGAGGAATATTCATTTTAGCTGAACCATGGTGAAAGTTCACAGAAAGGCTGGGAAAATGCGTTGGTGGGTGGATAATCATGTTTCGAATTTTACTATCGAAATAATCGCTGGGAACATTTGCATCAATCCCCTAAAATCATAGATAAAGATTTAGTTGAATGGAGGCGAAAGGTGATAGAAAGTTATAGCAAATACATTGACGACCGAATAATGAGGCGATTGCATCTTATTTCAAAGATTAACGCAGTGCACTTTTTGTAATGACACCTTGCTGTAAATTAGGCAATTTGCAATAGAATGGCCTTACAAAACGTGTGCTGTGATGAATGTGCTAATTCTTAGAGATATCTTCAGCCAGTCCTTTCGCTGCAAAGTGCTCTCATGGACTAGCTTTGACACAAGATAATGCATAATGGATTTCTTCTTCACGGATGCTGCCAAGACTGAAGCAGAATTCTAACACTGAACTGCGTATATCACTGGACGTCGAAGGAAATAAAGGAGTCGCCCTTCCTGGGTAAGACAAAGTACATCCGCGTCCTGGATAAGACGATAGACTACATCCGGCAGCAAGGCCTCTGTCCAGGAGGCTTTGAGGAGCATGGAACCACCTCTTAATTGCTGGTGTTCCCAGGCTCAACCTAATCCGGAGTGGTAGCACCTGTTAGGGTCTCAGCAATGGGCAAATAGTTAACCCTTAAACTGGGGTCATAACACCATGATACCAGGAATAAATTTTTCGAGGAAAAAAATATTACCGGCAATGCATTTTTGAAAGAAAAAATATTACCAGTGATACGTTCTTAAGGAAAAAAATATTACCGGCAATGCATTTTTGAAAGAAAAAATATTACCAGTGATACGTTTTTGAATGAAAAATTATTACCAGTGATAAAAAATTTTGTCGACATTAAATAATCCATTGAGGTTGATATCCCGTAAAACAAACCAAACCAAACTACAGAGGTTGGCGGAAGTGACTTGAAAGTCAATTACATAAGGACCACATCGTCAATGGAAAACGTCCTGAGCCTCGCATCCATCGCAAACATATCTACCATATAAGAAATGTTGGGAGCTGGTAGCGTTGCGCAGATTTATGGCGAAATAAATGTTCATCTAGACATCAGCCTTACCAAACTTGTTCATTTGACGATTTGAAAGGTCAAACAACGTCAAGGGTGTAAAAGGTCTAACATTTTCGCCCCGGCCCTTCAACTTCCGGTGTCTTACTCTCGGGGTTGAGGTGTCTACTCGGTCCTAACCGAACTTAAGGTAGTGGCCATAGGTCCCCTGAGCATCCGTAGATTATTCGACCAGTCCGCTGGTTTAATCCTGCTTCCTGTCCACGTTGTGATTTGTTTGATCCAGAAAGCAGAAGCGATGTCCGTCCATTCACGGTCGACTGAAGATGTAGACACGGCTGGGGAGTCTGCGCTAAGAAATTTAGAATGCAGCAAAAAAAAAAATAAATAAATAAATAAAATAATAATATCTGCAGAAAGCCGGACAAACATCGATTCAATGGTTGAATTGGTAATGTCTTTTATATTGCAGAAAAGAATAGTAGAGAAGAGAAACGGGTTACAGAAAAGAAAAGTAAAAAAACTCAAACACTGGATTCTAGACAGGGGAGAGATAGAGAGAGTGCTTCTGATTATTTTACTGTTAAATCGTCTCAGAACGATATATGACTCTTGCGATGGAGGGATAGAGATTTCTGTGTGGGGCTTAAAGTTATAGTGGCGTTCCTCCTCCCAACGCTCGCCCGGGCTAATTCTCTCTTCTCTCTTTAAGAATTTTCTCCCGTCTTCCTTTTTCAGCATAACTTCGCGTTTATATAGATAAACTCGGCTAGTTATAACTGACCCTCGGCCCTACTACTTCGGACGCGATTATCACGGGGTTCTGGCTGCTTCAACCAAAATCACGTGAATTCCAAAGTTCCTTCTAGCTTACTCAGCTCTATTTCAATTTTTAATCGATAAAAAATATTTCGAACATTTCTATTGTCTCCTGATGACCCAGGTTCAATGGGTACAGCTTCTGCCCTAGATCAGATTTCCCCATCGGTAAACAAAATGCTCTGATTTAATTTCACTATTCAAATCTACTCCAATTTCACTAAAAAATATATATACGTGTGTGTGTGCGTGTGTGTGTTTCGATTTTAAAGACTGAACGGCCTCGACGGTAAAAAAAAACCTGGTAGTACATTCATGGAAGCAATACAGACGTGTTTACTGAGATTTGAAAACACTTGATAACACTTCTAAGATATCTCTAATATTGTACAACTGTGGTACTTGGCAATCTGAAATAAATAAAACGATAGATCGATAGACAGACATACAGATAGATAGATAGATAGATAGATAGATAGAAAGAATTATATTGAAGTAGGTAGATAGAAAACTAAAAGAACTCTTGGATAAGGAATTAATGGAAAGCAAGAAGAAAGAACTAATTATCTTTTAATTGATATGATTGGATTAGGATAGATAGAAATGAGTAGACTGATGTAGATAGATAGATAGATAGATGGACAGACAGATAGATAGATAGATAGATATGACTAGTTTAGAGCAGAGATATAGATTGCTGAAAGAACTATTAGATAAGGTATTAAAAGGAAAGCAAGAAGAAAGGACTATCTATTCATTTGTGACAGAAGACACTGTTCTAGAAAATAGAAATAAAAATAGACTAGAAATAAACCAGAAGGGAGCAGGTTTGAAAATCAGTATTGTAAATCCTGCCCAGTTTTTTTTTTCGATTTTAAAGACTGAACGGGCGTGACAGTATAAAAGAAACCGTGTATGACACATTCATAGAAACAAGACATAGATTTTGACAGAGAGATTAATAAATTAAGGATATCATTAAGAGATAAATACATTTTATTAGGATCAAAGAAAGGAGTGTTAAACTGCTATATAATATCTAATCTGCTGTGCGCCAGTTAATGCATAAAAGGGGAAAAGAGACTTGAAAAAAAAAAAAAAAAACCCGAAGCGAAGCAACAACAACAGCAACAACAAAACAGAGTAATACAATAATTTTTCTTTTCATCGAATTTAATGAAACGTAGGCGCCGATCTAATCCGTAGAGGACAAGAAAACCTAACAGGTTTTATTATTGGCGAGGAGATAATCTCAACAAAACAAAATAAGTAGATGGCACAGTGATAATGGGAAACTCAGAAGAATATTGAAAACAACTCGCAGAAAAGATAGTAAAGGAAAGCAAGAAGAAAGGACTGTCTATGAGCCAGGGAATCAAATACACAGTCCTTAGTCTTATAAGATATCTGTAATATTTCCTGAATGTGGTGTTTGAAGATTTTATTTCAATTTGAATGACAAAATTATTAACTAAAAAATAATTAGATAGATAGATAGTTAGATAGATAGACAGAAAACAGAAAAATAGATAGATAGAAAACAGAAAAATAGATAAAACATTAAAGCAAGATTAAAGAACTAATCACACTGGCTAACTATCTATATATAGATATGGTTGGGTTAGATATATATATATATATATATATATATATATATATATATAGATATATGTTAATACACTGTGATGTTAAAAAGATCGGAAAAGATTCAAAGAACACATATAAGATATCTCCAATATTCTATAAATGAGATGCTTGAAGCATTTAATTCAATCTGAAAGACAAAATGGACTCTTTGATGAAACATTAAAGAAAAGCTAATAAAAGGACTAATTATCTATGCAGAGATATGATTAGTTTGGGATAGATATCACGTCATCCCATAAGTTCTGTCCGAATTTTGAATGAAGAAAACAAGTGACCAAATGTTACATTTAATTACAGATTCAATCAACAATGTATTTCTCCCTAATTATCTATGACTTCCTTCCATCTATTAACAAGCATACTAATTCCATTACTGTAAAATTCTTTTGGCTTTGATTTGAAGAACTCACAAATGTCAGTTTTAACCTCTTCCTGTGTTACAAAAGCTGTTTCTTCCAAATGATTCTGTAAGCTACGAAACAAATGGTAGTCTGAAGGAGCAAGATTGGGAGAATAAGGTGGATGAGGAATTTTCTCCCAACCAAGTTCTTCGATCTTTTGTGACGTGGGTCTTGCTGTGTGGGGTCGCGCATTGTCCTGATGAAACATCACCTCTTTTCGATTCACTAGAGCAGGTCTTTTTTTTTCTCAAAGCTTGGTTCAAACGCTCTAATTGCTGAGAGTATATTTGAGCATTAATTGTTGCATTATGTGGTAAGAATTCAAAGTGGATTATTGCTTGGCGATCCCACTAGATTGAAAGAAGAACCTTTTGCCCATGAAGTTCCCTTCTCGGCTGTGGCTGGGGTCCTTCCCCTTTACCAAGCCACTGTCTACGACGCTTAACATTTCGATGAAAGATCCATTTTTCGTTGCCAGTCACAAGTCTATCCAAAAAAGGTGAAACAAGTTGGCGAGAATGGAGAGAAGAGCAGATGTCAACTCGGGATTTGAGATTATTTTCAGACAATTCATGAAGCACGCATTTTTCAAGTTTAGGAACTTTTCCAAGTTGTTGAAGATGATGATGAACAGTTGTATGGTTTGAACTGAGAACCACTGCCAATTCCTCAACTGATAAAGCATGATTTTCTTCAAGGGCTCCTTCAAGAAGCTTTTCATCAAACTCAACTGGACGTCCGGTTCGA